TCTTCTTTTCTTGCTTGCTTTCAATTTTATCCTTGAAGGTAGCTTGGAGGAAACAGGGATGTCTTTTTTCCAAATGGAAAAGTGGCTGCATGCAGTGGCTCACACCTGTAATACCAGCACTTTTGGGGGCCAAGATGGGAGGATCATTGGAGGCCAGGAGTTTAAGACCAGCATGGGCAACATAGCAAGACCTTTCCCTTGAAAAACATTTAAAAATCCCGCCAGGCACTGTGGCTCACTCCTGTAATCCCAGCACTTTGGGAGGCTGAGGCAGACAGATCACAAGGTCAGGAGATCAAGACCATCCTGGCTAACATGGTGAAACTCCATCTCTACTAAAAATACAAAAAATTAGCCAGGCGTGGTGGCACGCTTGTAGTCTCACCTACTCGGGAGGCTGAGGCAGGAGAAATGCTTACACCCAGGAGGCAGAGGTTGCAGTGAGCCGAGATCACACCACTGCACTCTGGCCTGGGCAATGGAGCAACACTCTATCCCCCACCACCCCCCCAAAACAAACTTAAAAATCATCCAGGCCTGGCAGTGTGCACCTGTAGTCTCAGCTACTCAGGAGGCTGAGGCAGGAGGATTGCTTGAGCCCAAGAGATCAAAGCTGCAGTGAGCTATGATTGTAGCACTGCACTCTGGCCTGGGCAACAGAGTAATATTATATCTCAAAAAATTAAATTACATTAAAAATTTAAAAATGGAAAAGTTGGGCTGGTCTGAAGGTAGTGCGTTCTCTCCATTGATTGTTCATGGTTAGTTACAGATCAAACTCCCTGTTCCACTTTCCCCTTCTCGTTACTTCACTTAGCCTTTTTAAAAAAGAAAAAGAGAAATGGAAAAGCTCATTGCTACTTTGAAACCACCGCTAACTCTCAAGGCAGAGAGCCAAGAGTCACATCTCTGCAAAGTGTCCATGGGATCAAAGAGCAAGCTCTGATCAGCTATCAGGATGGATTTGGCTGGAAGAGAAGCACAGGCCAGAGGTTCTCTGTAATATAGGGAGGGAACGTCGTAGTTTATAAGGCATTTTTTCATGATTCCACTTAAGTTCATACAATTCTCCCAGCAACCAGCCGAGGAGGCTACTGTCATCCCAATTTCAGAGAGGAGGCAGTTGAAGCTGCATTGGCCTCAGAGGTGCCTCCCCATCCCAGGACACACAGGGGGGTGTGGCTGGACCAGGACTTTGGTCCACTGGATGCTCCACTCCATCTCCTTCTGGGACTCCAGAGTGTGTGGTGATCTGGGCCAGACACCCCATGCCTGGGACAGCACTATTTCCTAATGCCTGTGCTGCTGTGTCTTGACCCCCTCAGACAGTCACTGTGAAGAAGGATGATATCCAGCAGATGAACCCACCCAAATTCTACCAGGCCAGCGACATGGCAGACATGACGTTCCTGAATGAGGCCAGTGTCCTAGACAATCTGCGCCAACGCTATACCAACATGAGGATCTATGTGAGTTCTGGAGATGGGGTGAGCGCGGGAAGGGGGAGGAAGGAGTGGCTGCAGATCTTCTGCCCTTCTTTTGATGCGGGGGAGGGGCAGGAGTGGCTACTCCACATCCCCCAGTTCCCTATACACATTATGACTCAGAAAAAGGCACAGGGACCATGTTTTTGACATGTTAGAATTTCCACCCAAAGCCTTCGACATCTCAGTAATGGTACCAATGAGCAGCTGAAACACCCTTTGCTGAGGCTGTCACCCAAAAATCTTCCTCCTCATGCTCCTCCCTTCTTCCTCAAAGTCTTACATCGAAACATCATTTCCCCCCTAGTGTCTTCATGTGCCATTATTAGAAGTCCATCCATCCATCCATTCACCAATCCATCCATCCATTCATCCATCTATCCATCCATCATCCATCCAAACATCTATCCATCAATCCAAACATCAAAACATTTATCCATCCATCCATCCAACCATCTATCCATCAATCCAAACATCTAAACATCCATACATACATCCAAACATCTATATATTCATCCATTCATCTAAACATCTATCCATCAATCCAAGCATCCAAACATTTATCCATCCATCCATCCATCTATCCATCAGTCCAAACATCTAAACATCCAGCCATCCATACATACATCGAAACATACATACATCCAAATATCTATTCATCCAAATATCTACCCATCAATCCAGACATCCAAACATTCATCCATCCATCCATCAAAACATCTATCCATCAATCCAAACATCCAGTCATCCATCCATCCAGTCATCCATCCATCCATCCATCCATCCATCCATCCATCCATCAAAACATCTATCCACTAATCCAAACATCCAAGTCCATCCATCCAAACATCTATCCATCAATGCAAACATCCTCACATTCATCCATCTATCCAAACATCCAAACGTCCATCCATCAACCAAACATGTATCCACCCATCCACCCATCCAAACATCCAAATATCTATCCATCTATTCAATCGTTCTTCAAAACATTCACCCACCCATCCACCCAACAAACATTGAGATTTAATTGTAGCCTGAGGCACTTAGGAAGGACAATGGACTGCATCCTTGAAGTTCAGTTTCAGTTTGACATGATGACCAGAGTGGGTTACAATCAGTCCCCTGAGTGTCTTGCAAATCTTAAGACAGAAAGATGATTTCCTGAAGGTGTTGCAGCTTAACTCACTAAACGGGTTGTCTAAGGACATGTTGGTGTTTGCCTCTCTAGATGCCTTTATTAAAAAGGACAGAGGCTTATCTGGTAGGAATAGGTGAGGTGCAGCCTGATTCCCAGGTTAGGGGCTGCTGGGGGTTCCCCCAACCTGGGTCCTTGGTTATACCCAAGAGGACTTCTGTGACCCCAGATTCTTCCTCCTTAATACTACTGTGGTTATAGATTCAGGCCCCAGCAGCAGCACCATAGCCACAGGTGGTGTTGGAAAGTCTCTGAGAAGCTCTTGAAGATATCTGCTAGGTCTGGAGGTTAGCAGGGCATCCTTGGACCCCAGGTCTAAAAAGAGCCACACCCAAGCTGGGCACAGTGGCTCACACCTGTAATCCCAGCACTTTGGGAGGCTGAGGTGGGCACAGCACAAGGTCAGGAGTTTGAGACCAGCCTGGCTAACATGGTGAAACTCCATCTCTACCCAAAATACCAAAAAAAAAAATATGTTTTAAAAAAATATGTTTTCTTTTTTTTTTTTTTTGAGCCCAGTCTCGCTCTGCCACCCAAGCTGGAGTGCAATGGCGCGATCTCATCTCACTGCAACCTCTGCCTCCCGGGTTCAAGGGATTCTCCTGACCCAGCCTTCCAAGTAGCTGGGACTACAGGCACGTGCCACCACACCTGACTAATTTTTCTATTTTTAGTAGAGATGGGGTTTCACCATGTTAGCCAGATGGTCTCGATCTCTTGACCTCTCGATCTGCCCACCTAGGACTCCCAAAGTGCTGGGATTACCAGCGCGAGCCACTGCCTGGCCTTAAAAACACAAAAACTGACCGAGCATGGTGGCGCCTGCTTGTAGTCCCAGCTACTCAGGAGGCTGAGGTGGGAGAATCGCTTGAATCTGGGAGGTGGAGGTTGCAGTTGCAGTAAACTGAGATCATGCTACTGTACTCCAGCCTGTGTGACAGAGCAAGACTTTGTCTCAGAAAAAAAAAAAAAAGAGCCACGCCCACCCCTGACTGAGCCTGGAACCCGGGCTGAGAATGTCAAGGTGCAGACTCGATGGTCAAGCTCAGGACCTGGTCTTACCCGGGGCTGCTCTGCACCCAAGCCCTTGCTCCTCCTAGGTGATCACATCATAGGTGACTTTGGGCCAAGGGACTGCAGGCTCTGTGGAGTATAGCCTGACAGACCAGGGCAGGGAGTCCCCTACTACATTAAAGCACCTTGATGGAACCACTAGCGCAACAACTCTAGCTGGCAAGGGCTGTTCCCATGGCTCCAGCTCCTTCCCTCTCAATTCCTCCTGACCGCAGCTGGGCGGTAACTGGCTTCCAGGCTGCTGTCTGCCCCCACCCCGCAGCTGAGACAGGCTGGAGGGGAACAGTAACTCCATGGCTGACATCCCAGGATGAGACACCGTGTGTCATACTCTCAGCTCTTCAACTGGGTTTCCTTCATCATCTCTTTGCTATTTTTTTTTTTTCCCGTGGATCAGTTTCTACTTAATAAGTTTCCTTTTGGAAATTCAGCATATCCCAGTTATGCTAAGGAGAACCTGGTGGCAGGGAGCAGGGTCGGGGGGGAGCAGTTATTCTTACTTGGTTGAAAATGGAAGGGTTTAAAGTTGAATTGAAAACAGGCACTTGGTGGAGGTCAATGTGACTTCCAGCAAGTAGAAGGGAAATTCAAGATTCATAGATTTGGCCAAGTCCTGTCTTCACTTATTCTTCCTGCTCTTAGATAATTTATTTAATACTGTAATTGGTTTTTCTGTTTTTTTGTTTGTTTGTGTGGTTTTTTTTTTTTGAGATGGAGTCTTGCTCTGTCACCCAGGCTGGAGTGCAGTGGCGCAATCTCAGCTCACTGCAACCCCCACCTCCCGAGTTCAAGCGAGTCTCCTGCCTCAGCTTCCTGAGTAGCTGGGACTACAGTGCACGCCACCACACTCGGCTAAATTTTGTATTTTTAGTAGAAATGGGGTTTCACCATGTTGGTCAGGCTGGTCTTGAACTACTGACCTCGTAATCCACCTGCTTCAGCCTCCCAAAAAGGGGAGATTACAGGTGTGAACTCACAGCCCGGCCTTTCTCTCTCTTTTTTTTTTTTAAAAAAGGTAATTTCTTCCAAAATTGCAATCTTGGAGTGAAAAGAATGTTGGGGTCTCTTTTTAAGAGGAGATCAAGGCCGGGTGCTGTGGCTCATGCCTGTAATCCCAACACTTCGGGAGACCAACGTGGGTGGATTGTTTGAGGACAGGAGATCATGACAAGCCTGGCCAACACAGCAACGCCCCCATCTCTACAAAAATTATTTTTAATTTTACAGGCTTAATGGGCACATACCTGTAGTACCAGCTACTTGCAATGTTGAGGTGGGAGGATCCCTTGAGTCCAGGAGGTCAACGCTGCAGTGAGCTATGACTGTACCACTGCAGTCCAGCCTGGAAGACAAAGGCTTGCTCTGTCTTAAAAAAAAAAAAAAGAAAGAAAGAAAAGAAAAAGAAAGAAAACAACAGGTGGTCAAACCTAGCTGCCACAAGTAGGAAACTGCATCCACACAGTGAAGATTCCACAGCTATTGAATCACCCCAGAAATCTCTCAATGGACTGTCATGGAAAATCAGATATATTAAGTGGCAAAAGGAAGACACAAAAATAGTACTATAGGCCGGGCACAGTGGTTCATGCCTGTAATCCTAGCACTTTGGGAAGCCTAGGTGGGCAGATCCCTTGAGGTCAGGAGTTCATGACCAGCCTGGCCAATATGGTGAAACCCTGTCTCTACTAAAAATACAAAAATTAGCCAGGTGTGATGGCGGGTACCTGTAGTCCCAGCTACTCAAGAGGCTGAGGGAGAATTGCTTGAACCTGGGAGGCAGAGGTTGCAGTGAACCGAGACCGTGCCATTGCACTCCAGCCTGGGTGACAGAGTGATACTCTGTCTCAAAAAATATATATATAAATTTTTAAAACATGGAAGGGAGTAAAAGGAACTAGCCCAGTGTTTACCTGTGATGAGGGTAGGGGTTGGCATGGAGCAAGTGGAGGGACCTTTTGTAGTATATATGTCATCACAGTGACAGTGTTACCTATTCAAATACATATGGACGATGGGGTAAAAGCAATACACATTCAATGCCCTCCCTGATTTATGATTAAACCAATCAAACATTGAAAATATCATAAATTGACTTCCAATATGATATTTATTTTCCTTGTATGATGGGTTTGTCTGGATGTGACCCCATCCTAAGTTGAGGAGTATCTGTAATTAAATCAAAAGAAAACAAAAACAAATATATATTAAAGAGAAGGCTCATTCAGATAGACATAAGATTTTGCCTCCAGAGGCTGGGTTGTGCTGTTGTTGCTGTTGTTGAGACGGAGGCTCACTCTGTCGCCCAGGCTAGAGTGCAGTGGCAGGATCTCGGCTTAGTGCAATCTCTGCCTCCCAGGTTCAAATGATTCTCCTGCCTCAGCCTCCTGAGTAGCTGGGACTACAGGCCCATGCCACCATGTCTGACTAATTTTCATATGTTTAGTAGAGATAGTGTCGCCACATTGGTCAGGCTGGTCTTGAACTCCTGACCTCATGATCCGCCCACCTAAGCCTCCCAAAGTGTTGGGATTACAGGCATAAGCCACCACACCTGGCAGAAAACTGGTGTTCTTCACAGCTTGCTCTATGATAAGCTGGGTCTTGAAGGGAACTCAGCTGGGGGAAGAGGGTACCAGGAGGAAGAACCAGCTGACCATCTTCCCTCCCTCCCTCCAGACCTACTCAGGTTTGTTCTGCGTGACAGTCAACCCCTACAGGTGGCTGCCCATCTATGGAGCCCGTGTGGCCAACATGTACAAGGGCAAGAAGCGCACAGAGATGCCACCTCACCTCTTCTCCATCTCTGACAACGCCTACCATGACATGCTTATGGGTGCGTCGGGATGGGCTCTGCTGGGGCTGGGGTGGCAGGAGACAAGCCTTCCTTTGCCATTGCTGCTCCAGACTCATTAAGACCTCGTGATACCCCATCCAAACCCTGACCCTGCACCACCAGTTAAAGTTCGTTGCTAAATGTTGAGCATCAGCTGCTGCTACCAGGTGTCAGGGCTCAGTGAGTATGCTGGGCACTTGCTAGGCACCCTATCTCATTTAAGCTTCACAAAGCCATGGGATGCCAAGGTAAGTAGGTAAGTAGCTTGCTCAGAACTCAAGTTAATACTCTTAACCATTACTCGTATGATCTTGGCTGCATGTTATAGTGATTCCTCTATGCAATTTTTTTTTTTTTTAGATGAAGTTTTCCTCTTATCACCCAGGCCATAGTGCAATGGTACAATCAATCTCAGCTCACTGCAACCTTCGCCAACATGCGATTCTCCTGCCTAGCCTCCTGAATAGCTGGGATTACAGGCGTGTGCCACCACGCCCAGCTAACTTTTGTATTATTAGTAGAGACGGAGTTTCATCATGTTGGCCAGGCTGGTCTCAAACTCCTGACCTCAAGTGATCCACCCACCTCAGCCTCCGAAAGTCCTGGGATTACAGGCATAAGTCACCGTGTCTGGCCATGATATTTTTTTAAAGACAGTGTCTCTGTTGCCCAGGCTGGAGTGCAGTGGTGTAATCTTAGCTCACTGCAGTCTAGAACTTCCGGGCTCAAGCAATCCTCCTGCCTCAGCTTCCTGAGTAGCTGGGACTATAGGCATGTGCCACTATGCCCAGCTAATGTTTTAATTTTTTGTAGAGACAGGGTTTCACCATCTTGCCCAGGCTGGTCTTGAACTCGTGGGCTTCTCAAAATGCTGGGATTACAGGCATGAGTCATGCTGTCCAGCCCTCTGTGATTTTTGTCCTCTCTTCTCTTTGTGTTGCTTAGGACTGGGTTGCTTGATGGCCACTCTAGGCTGGCGGAAAGAGTGGCTGATAAATTCCTGATCCTTCCTGCAAGGGTGTATGCTGCAGGGATTGGCACGTGGCCGCAGATCCCACAGGACCCTGGATTTTGGCCTCCAAGTGTAGCCAAGGCCATGATCTTAGGCGGGTAGAATATGGAGAAGTGCTATTTATCCGGGGCGTTGTCGAATGCCTAGTTTCTAAACGTTTCCTAATTACACCTTCCTGTTTCTTGTTTTCTTCCCCACAGATCGTGAAAATCAGTCCATGCTAATCACGTAAGTGTCTCTTCCATCTCTCAGTCTATACACATATAATTAGGTCTGTGTCTTACACATATAATTAAGCCTTTCTGGAATTAATTGGGGGATTTTGTTTGGAACTCTACAGGCAGATGAGTGGGCTTAGTGGGGCGGGTGAGGCTGCACCTGCTAAACTTATGTGGTGGCTTCCCTGTCCCCAGGACTCCCCACCTGCCTGTCCTGGCTAGGAGGCAAAATGTAAACAAAAATGTGTACCTTTGAGGCCAGGTGTGGTGGCTCACACCATAATCCCAGGGTTTTGGGAGGCTGAGGCAGGAAGATCACTTGAGCCCAGGAGTTTGAGACCAGCCTGGGCAACATAGCGAGACCCTGTCTCTATAAAAAATTACCCACGTGTGGTGGTGCACTCCTGTAATCCCAGCTACTCAGGAGGCTGAGGTAGGAGGATTTCTTGAGCCCAGGAAGTGGAGGCTGCAGTGAGCTATGATCACACCATTGCACTCCAGCCTGGATAACAGAGCAAGATCCTATCTCAATTTTTTTTTAATTTTTTTCTCCTCAGAAATAGTTTTGGTTGTATTTTTGAGATGGATTCTTGCTCTGTCACCCAGGCTGGAGTGCAGTGGTGCTATCTCAGCTCACTGTAACCTCCACCTCCTGGGTTCAAGCAATTCTCCTGCCTCAGCCTCCCAAGTAGCTGGGATTACAAACATGCCCCACCACACCCAGCTAATTTTGGTATTTTTAGTGGAAACGGGGCTACACCATGTTGGCCAGGCTGGTCTCAAACTCCTGATTTCAGGTGATCCTCCCACCTCGGCCTCCCAAAGTGCTGGGATTACAGGCGTGAGCCACCGCACCCAGCTAATTTTTGTATTTTTAGTAGAGACAGGACCTCACCATGTTGGCCAGGCTGGTCTTGCTTCTTTTCTCTGTGGCCAACCCCCCTCTTCCTGCTTCTTTTATTCACTCTTTTTTTTCCACCTGCAGCGGAGAATCTGGTGCTGGTAAGACTGAGAACACGAAGAAGGTCATCCAGTACTTTGCCAACATTGGAGGAACTGGCAAACAGACCACAGATAAGAAGGTAAGAGCCGACCGAGTGGGCCCAGGGTCCATTTCCCATCTTCAGGCATCTGTAACACACACAGTGGCACCTGTTCAATCTTCACAGCTTCTCACAGCTTAGGGCCATTTTATAGATGAGGAGACTGAGGCTTAGAGAGAAGTGATTTGGGTGGAGTCACACAAGGAGAAGGTGGCCATAGATCAGTATCACGATCTCCTCCCCCAGGACTTGTTCTGCTGCCCCAGGCTATGTCTGCCTCCAGAAAGACAGGTAGCAGAGCCCCTTGTACTTGGTAGAGGGGAAACGGGAAAGTTTGCTGCCTGTTAAGTGGCTTCTGCAGGCCCTGGCTGCCCCAGGGGTACAAAGAACCTAAGCTGGACAGACAGCTAAGGCAGCTGTACAAGGCTGACAGAGGCCGGGCGTGGTGACTCATGCCTATAATCCTAGCACTTTGGGAGGCCGAGGCGGGTGGATCAGGAGGTCAGGAGTTCAAGACCAGCCTGGCCAACATGGTGAGACCCTGTCTCTACTAAAATACAAAAAAACATTAGCCTGGTGTGGTGGTACGTGCCTGTAGTTCCCAGCTACTGGGGAAGCTAAGGCAGGGGAATCACTTGAACTCGGAAGGTGGAGGTTGCAGTAAGCAGAGGTCGTGCCACTGAACTCCAGCCTGGCAACAGAGGGAGACTGTCTCAAAACAAAAAATAAACAAACAAACAAAAAAATGCCCACAGAGGCCGGGCACACTGGGCTCATGCCTATAATCCCAGCACTCTGGGAGGCTGAGGTGGGAGGGTTGCTTGGGTCTAGGAGTTCAAGACCAACCTGGGCAACATAGCAAAACACTATTTCTACAAAAAAAAAACCTAAAAATTAGCCAGGAGTGGCTACTCAGGAGGCTGAAGTGGGAGGATCACTTGAGCCCAGGAGTTGGAGGCTGCAGAAAGCCAAGATCATGCCACTGCACTCCAGCCTGGGCAACAGAGCAAAACCCTGCCTCTAAAAAGGGAGTGGGAGAAGGCTAACAGAGCAAAGGTGGGAGATGAAGGATGTGCAGGGAGGCGTTTCAGACTTGCTCAGGGGCTCTCTGCCAACAGCAAACTGAGAAAACAGTAGCTAGGGATCAAGTCCAGGTGGCTGCCCATGTCCCCAGGTTCCCCTCCCGATGTCAGGGAGCCACAGAGGGACAGGCAGTGTCAGGCAGTGGCCATCCTCCCAGATCTCTACATGCAGCCCCTCTGGCCCTGATTTTCTGGCCACCCCAGGGCCATTCCCCTCCTGGGTTCCCAGCACATGAGCCACTGTCATTTGCAAGCCCAGTCCCTGAGCCCTGGGCTCCCAAGCTGCAGCCAACTGGTCAACGAACTTTGGGTTTCTTTCTGTATCAGAGGTCTCTGGAGGATCAAATCATCCAGGCAAACCCCGTGCTGGAGGCTTTCGGAAATGCCAAGACCACCAGGAACAACAACTCCTCTCGCTTTGTAAGTGTGGGCGGCCACATGAGAGGCCCCCTGGGTGGTAGGACAGGTGTCACGAACCCACCCCAGGTAAAAAAATTGAGGCTGTTTTAAATTAAGGTGAAGGAGGCGGGGCAAGTGAAGACATCACCTTCCCAGAGACACTGAAGGCATAGCAATCAGAATTAAATTGGCAATAAGGAAAAACTAACTCAAAAGATAAATAACCCCTTGTGGAATTCAGCTCAAGGTCTGAAGATTCCTACTAGCTGGTCCAATGATCCTCAACACTGAGAACTACAAATTGCACGTTTAACAGGTCATTTTGTATCAAAAGATCAATTCAGGCCAGGCGCGGTGGCTCATGCTGGTAATCCAGTGCTTTAGGAAGCCGAGGTGGATGGATCACGAGGTCAGGAATTCGAGACCAGACTGGCCAACATGGCAAAATGCCACCTCTACTAAAAATACAAAAAAAAAAAAATTAGTCAGGTGTGGAGGCAGGCGCCTGTAATCCCATCTAATTGAGAGGCTGTGGCAGAATTGCTTGAACCTGGGAGGTGGAGGTTGCAGTGAGCCAAGACTGCGCCACTGCACTGCACTCTAGCCTGGGCAACACAGCGAGACTCTATTTCAAAAAAAGAAAAAAAGATCAATTATAAGGCACCTAGAGTTTTTCAATTGTATGAATACATTCTCTGGGTTCTGCAGAGACCCAGACAGGGTTAACCGTTTTTTTTCTATAGTGGATTTTGATTTTTTTTTTTTTTCCCTCAGAAGTTGGTCTTCTTTGATGTGCCCAAGTCTTAACATTTCTCAATAAAGAAAAAAAATCTCCATTAGCATAAAAGGAGGCCGAGCGCAGTGGCACATGCCTGTAATCCCAACACTTTGGGAAGCCAAGGCAGGAGGATCTCTTGAGCCCAGGAGTTCAAGACCAGCCTCGGCAATATAGTGAGACCACTCCCCATCTCTACAAAAAACAAAAATTACCCGGGCATGGCCATGCATCCCTGTAGTCTCAGCTACTTGGGAGACTAAGGTGGGAAGATTCCCTGAGCCCAGGAAGTCAAGTCTGCAGTGATCAGAGATTGTGCCACTGCACTCCAGCCTGGGCAACAGAGCAAGATCCTTTCCGGGGGTGGGGGAAGCATATAATCAGCAAACAGAATACTCTTTAGTGTTAATATTGAAGTCAAGTGGCTTTGATGCAGAGCCTTGGCGACAGTCACGGTGGAGGGACTAGGAGGTCACCTACGGAGACAGAGATTGACAACAGTGGGAAGCTGTGACCTCTTCTAGGCTGGAGGAATGTAAGAGAGGTGCTATCCTAGGTTCCTGGTGAGTTCTTAAACCAGTGCAGCTGTCTGGTGGGAGCTGGAGTCATAGAGGCACTCTGCCCCACCTGAGATACCAACCAGGGAGGAGCAATACCCTGGCCTCGTCTCTCTGACTCCCAGACCTCCTCTGGGGCCTCCCATTGGCAGAGCCTAGCAAGCTTGCAGGAAGCCTGGTAAAACAGAGTTGGTGGGATGAGGGGAGGAACAGACGTGAGCACAGACAGGCCCAGGAGCAGCCAAGGTAGAGAGAGAGAGAGTTCTTTTTCCAGAATTTATTGGTGGCTCTACCATGCAAGCCAGAGAGAGGAATGACACAGAAGTCTCTGGATAAAGAGGCGTGGTGGGTGCTCCAAATTTGTATGGAGCCTGGATTCTATATAGAATTCCAAAGGGTACCAGCCCTCCTGCTGGCACTTCTCTCCTCCACAAATGCCCCAAACCACAGACCCTAGATTTAGCTCTGAGACCTGTTCGTGTGTTTCTCTGCCTATTTTCGTGGGAAATCCACCACTCCAATACAGCCCAGTTACATCCCCGCAGCCCCCCAATTGGCCAACTCTGGGCCACTTACACTCGAAAGCTGTGGCTGACCTCCCTCCTGATCCCTCCCCTCTCCTCCCTGCTCAGGGCAAGTTCATCCGAATCCACTTCGGAACCACAGGAAAACTGGCTGGAGCTGACATTGAGAGCTGTAAGTCAAGCCCTCTTAGAAGGTTTCTCTGGGCAGCCACATAATCTGTGAGGCCCAGTGCAAAATGAAAATGAGGGGCTCATGTTAAAACATATTAGCCAGGCAAAGTGGCTTATGCCTGTAATCCCAGCACTTTGGGAGGCTGAGGCGGGAGGGTTGCTGGAGCCTAGGAGTTTGAGACCAGCTTGGGCAACAGTAAGATCCCAAAAAACGTGAAAAATTAGGCTGGCATGGCGGTACATGTCTGTAGTCCCAGCTACTCAGGAGGCTAAGGCAAGAGTATCACGAGGAGTTAGAGATTACAGTGAGCTATAATTACACCACTGTACTCCAGCCTGGGCAACACAGCAAGATACTCTCTCTAAAAATAATAATAGGCCGGGTGCAGTGGCTTGCGTTTGTAATCCCAGCACTTTGGGAGGCCAACGTGGGCAGATCACAAGGTCAAGAGATTGAGACCATCCGGGCCAACATGGTGAAACCCTGTCTCTACTAACAATACAAAATTAGCTGGGCGTGGTGGCACGTGCCCGTAGTCCCAGCTACTCGGGATGCTAAGGCAGGAGAACTGCTTGAACCCAAGAAGCGGAAGTTGCAGTAAGCCAAGATCGTGCCACTGCACTCCAACCTGGTGACAGAGCGAGACTCCATCTCCAAAAAAAAAATAAATAATAAAGGAATTTCGAAACAGTAACAAAGAAGCATTAAACCAAGTGGGAGGTCCTTCTGATTGCAGCCTGATGGTGCCCAGGAGTCTGGCCTCATTCCCAGGCCTCCCTCAGTGGCAGTCAGGTCCCCGGAGGCTGTGTCTGGAAGAGCGAAGGGTGGGGCTCACCACTGATGACTGTTCTAGGCTTTATGGAGAGGAGATGCCTGCTTTGTATGCAGCCCTGAACTCCAGGGAAACAGCTGTGTACTCACCAGCATCTTCACTTCTTTTTCAGATCTCTTAGAGAAGTCTCGTGTCATCTCACAGCAAGCAGCCGAGAGAAGCTACCACATCTTCTACCAGATTCTCTCAAACAAGAAGCCTGAACTTGTTGGTAAAGACTTTTATGTCTTTCCACCTGCCCCTGACCTTGCTTTCCTCCTTTTCTATAAGGAAAGAATTCCCATGTGCAAGGGGACTTGTGTCTCTCCTGGGATTCTCTGAAAATCCCTTCAGTTTAAAGTGATGTGAATGGGGCTGGAACAGCATTTTGAAATTGGGAGACTTCATTTAAAAATGCAATTTCCAGCCGAGTGCAGTGGCTCATGTTTGTAATCCCAGCACTTTGAGAGGTGAAGGCAGGAGGATTACTTGAGCCCAGGAGTTTGAGACCAGCCTGGGCAACATGGCAAGACCTTGTCTCTACAAAAAATAAAAAATGGCTGGGCACAATGACTCATACCTGTAATCCCGCACTTTTGGAGGCTGAGGCAGACAGATCACCTGAGGTTAGGAGTTTGAAACCAGCCTGGCCAACATGGCGAAACCCCATCTCTACTAAAGTTTAAAAAATTAGCTAGGTGTGGTGGTGGGCACCTGTAATCCCAGCTACTCGGGAGGCTGAGGCACAAGAATCACTTGAATCTGGGA